CGAGACTCTGTCTCCAAAAAAAAAAAAAAAAATCAATTTCTAACCACAGAGAAGACTTCCACCTCAGAACCTCTTACTAGTGTTTGTTGTTCCAACCTTACCCTGACTAAATCTTATTCTGTAGCTTTTATGCTACTTCCTTATCATGACATCATATGCTTTTCTTCATATTACAACTTAAGTTGTATGTTAATTGATTTGTATTTAAATCTCTCTCTCTCTCTCTCTCTCTCTCTCTCTCTCTCTCTCTCTCTCCTACTGGCTCCATAATAGCAAAGACCACATATACTGTGCTCACCACTGTATATCCCAGACCTGTACTTAATAATTAAAGACCATTTTTGGGGGAAGGAGGAGATCTTCCGGAGAGGACCAGAAAACCTGCTAGACAAATTCTAAAAGAGCTGTAACACCTGAGGAACACTTAAATCCTCACAGTTCATGTCACCAAGTCAATCAATGTCTAAGACAAGGAGAAAAAAAAAAAATCAGTAAGTATGGGATTTTAAAATAAGCAAAATAAATACTAAAATAACAATAGCTAATAGAATTGAAGGAATTAAGAAAGGAGGCATACAGAACTGCATTTTTCATACAAATCTGTTTGTGTTTAAAATATATATACATGGCCAGGCACAGTGGCTCACACCTGTAACCCTAGCACTCAGGGAGGCCGAGGTGGGCGGATCATTTGAGCTGAGTAGTTCAAGACTAGCCTGAACAAAGGGAGATGCTGTCTCTAACAAAAATAGAAAAAAAAAAAAATTAGCAGGGCATGGTGGCGCATGCCTATAGTCCCAGCTACTCAGGAGTCTGAGCCAGAAGGATTGCTTGAGCCCAGGAGTTCGAGGTTGCTGTGAGCTAGGCTGACATCATGACACTCTAGCCTGGGCAACAGAGCAAGACCCTGTCTATACTAAAAATAGACAGAAAGTAATTGACCAACTAAAAATATATATACAAAAAAAATTTTTTTCAAAAAATAAATAAATAGGGGCTCTCTGCCGGGACCCCGGCCCAGCAGCGTGCCCTCCAAAAAAATAAAAAAATATAAAAAAAATAAATAAATAAATAAATAAATAAATAAGTAAGTAAGTAAATAAAGTTAGCTGGACATGATGGTGCATGCCTATAGTACCAGCTACTTGGGAGGCTGAGGCAGAAGGATTAGCCCAGGAGTTTGAGGTTGCTGTCAGCTAGGCTGATGCCATAGCACTCAGTCTAGCCTGGGCAACAAACTGAAACCCTGTGTCAAAAATAAATAAATAACATTTGAGAAGTGATGAAGTATAGCTCTTAGAAATAGGCTTTGAATTTGAATTTGAACATAACTGGTTTTGAATTCTAGTCCCACCTCCTACAAGCCTCGTGTCCTTACCACCTATAAAATAAATAAAGTAACTTCTATAAATCTCTGACTACATTGAGAGCTCAATAATAGAACATAGAAGCTTGTTTTCTCACAGTGCCTCCAATTCTTGAAACAGTACTCAGAGGATACTACAATAGTATACAACTAAATCAAAGAATATTCTATCCAAAAAAATTTATTTAAGCCTCTCAAAATACAATCTGGGCATAAGGAAGAATAAAGACCTTTAAATTATTCAGAGATAAACACAACATTAACACTATTAAAGGTAGTAACCTGTAATTATACCAAAACAAGTAGGCAATTAAACAACCTGAGTACCACCAAAGGAATGTGCTCAATCCAGTCAACACCCCTAATTCCAAAGGCTCAACCTTGTTATTAAAGATACAGCTTCCTCTTCACCTTCAAAAGTCAACATACACTATAATGAAGCAAAATATAGTCTCTACTAATAAGAAAAAGTTACATTTACAAAATCCTTTTCTCTGATCACAACGTAGGAATATTTCTCTTGGTAGGAAAGAAAACACTGCCAGATTGTAAGTCCTTTCTCCATGCCTTTGGCAGGATACTGAAATTATGAAAAGTATTAACTACACATATCAAAAGTCAAAGGAAAAAGAATATTTCTAATTTCATGACATACCGGCATGATTCTTCTGCCTCTGCAAAACAAGTTTTTTAAAATAAGAAAAATAATAAAATCCCAAATCCTAGATATCTAATAATACAATTATATGCTCAGAATGGAAAACCAAAGTCTATCATAAGGGACTTATCACAGATTAAATAATTTTTAACTTAAAATGATATAAACAGGCCGGGCGCTGTGGCTCACGCCTGTAATCCTAGCTCTTGGGAGGCTGAGGCGGGCGGATTGCTCAAGGTCAGGAGGTTAACCAAGCCTGAGCAAGAGCGAGACCCCGTCTCTTACTATAAATGAAGAAATTAATGGCCAACTGATATATATATAAAAAATTTAGCCGGCATTGGTGGTGCATGCCTGTAGTCCCAGCTACTCGGGGAGGCTGAGGCAGAAGGATCACTCAAGCCCAGGAGTTTGAGGTTGCTGTGAGCTAGACGCCACGGCACTCACTCTAGCTTGGACAACAAAGCGAGACTCTGTCTCAAAAAAAAAAAAAAAAAAAAAAAATGATATAAACAGTTACAAAGGTAATGTGTTTGTTCCTTAGTACTATTGAGGCCAGATTCTATACTTGAGACTTCCTGACTTCCATTAAATGTGAGGTAATATATGTTTCATTACAAATCTTTTAAGAAGCAACAATATTACCCAAAAAAACAAAATGAGAAAAAAAAAGAAAAAAATTCTGGCTGAAACACAAATGGGGCTTCAATTAAGTTTGGTAAATGCATTTGTTAAAGATACAAATTCAAATTCTGTTGGTCCAGAGACTTCGACAACAAAAGAATCATACAATAGAAGCCCACTCATCTACTAGAGCGAGATGATACTTAGGTCATGCCAAACACTTGAATATAAGTGAAACAAGCCAAAATACAGTCCTTAGGACACCACACTGAGCTGTGCTGTTCCCATACCTCTTTGTCACTTAGGACATTTTATTTTTGCCATCCCAAGGAGGCACGTGTAGGAGGCAAAACAGGACCAACAGACCAATATCATTCAATGTAAAACACTTATCAAAATTACAGACGCACTTAGCCTTGACTCAGTATTTCCACTCAAAGGAAATTATCCTATACATACACAGACATAAAATAACTTTTGTTCAACTTCATTCATCACATCATTGTTTCTTTTTTTTTTTTTTTTGAGACAGAGTCTCGCTTTGTTGCCCAGGCTAGAGTGAGTGCCCTGGCGTCAGCCTAGCTCACAGCAACCTCAAACTCCTGGGCTCAAGCAATCCTTCTGCCTCAGCCGCCAGAGTAGCTGGGACTACAGGCATGCGCCACCATGCCCGACTAATTTTTTCTATATATATTAGTTGTCCAACTAATTTCTTTCTATTTATAGTAGAGACGGGGTCTTGCTCTTGCTCAGGCTTGTTTCGAACTCCTGACCTTGAGCAATCCGCCCGCCTCGGCCTCCCAGAGAGCTAGGATTACAGGCGTGAGCCACCGCGCCTGGCCACATCATTGTTTCTAATATCAAAAAAATGGACATTTAAAGTTTTTTCATCAACTGGAAACAGTTAATTAGGAAACATTCAAATAATACAATTATTCTGCAGCTATAAAAAAGTCAATGGGCCGGGCGTGGTGGCTCATGCCTGTAATCCTAGCACTTTGGGAGGCCGAGGCGGGCGGATTGCTCAAGGTCAGGAGTTCGAAACCAGCCTGAGCGAGACCCCGTCTCTACCAAAAATAGAAATAAATTAATTGACCAACTAAAAATATATATACAAAAATTAGCCGGGCGATGGTGGCATGCCTGTAGTCCCAGCTACTCGGGAGGCTGAGGCAGCAGGATCGCTGAGCCCCGGAGATTGAGGTTGCTGTGAGCCAGGCTGACCCCACGGCACTCACTCTAGCCTGGGCAACAAAGTGAGACTCTGTCTCAAAAAAAAAAAAAAAAAAAAGTCAATGAAGGCTGGTCTCCGTGGCTCACGCCTGTAATCCTAGCACTCTGGGAGGCCGAAGACAGGAGGATAGCTTGAGCTCAGGAGTTCGAGACCAGCCTGAGCAAGAGCAAGACCCCATCTCTACTAAAAATAGAAAAAATTAGCCGGGCATGGTGATGTGTGCCTGTAGTCCCAGCTACTCAGGAGGATCACTTGAGCCCCAGGAGTTTGAGGTTGCTGTGAGCCAGGCTGATGCCATGGCACTCTAGCCCAGGCAACAGAGTAAGTCTCCAAAAACAAAAAGTCAATGAAGAAGCTTTCTGAATACTGACATTATGAAGTAAAAAATAGCAAGGTTCAAACTAAGGGAGGTAGAAGTATATCTATACATGTTTTTATTTGTATAAAATATAGCTGTAAGAATACATAAGAAACTAAAATTCCTGGTTGCCTCAAGGTAGAGGATATGAGGCACAAGGGTGGCAGGAAGTTTTTGATTTTTGTTTTTAAGAGATGGTGTCTCATTATGTGTTTCCCAGGCTGGTCTCAAACTCCTGGGCCCAAGTGATACTCCCACCCCAGCCTCCCAAGTAGCTGGGCTATAGGTACATGCCACCACACCCAGCCTCAGGAGGGAGGTTTTTTTTTTTACCCTTTTTTGTACCTCTTGAATTTTGTACCATGTTAATGTCTTAACTACTGATATATTGTCAATGGTTGCTAGTTTTTATTTAAAAAAAAAAAACAACCTTCCATAAGCCTCAGTTTACTCTTCTGTTAAAATTAAAAAATAATAATACCTATTTGAGTTAACTTGAAGAAAAATGAGATCTTGCATATAAAGTGATTTGCACAATTTCTGACCCACTTTACTAGTCACCTAGAACATCTTCAATTCACCACTTGCTCCTCATTCCCAGTGCTTCATATCGTGTCATACACATAGCAGTCCCTCAGCCACTGCTTATGAAATAAATAGACGAGACCTTAATAAAACTATGAAAGTACCTCTGGATTTCATATAAGCTAACATGTTGGGAAGTACTATGTTTTAGGGATTTAACCACCTTCATACTTACAGGGATGCTCCAGACCTGCATTCCATCACTGTACCCAATCATAATCAGCAAAGGCGGTTCATTCCCAGTGCTATGTATTTCATGAAATTCCAGATTTCTTGATGTATCTGCATTAGAATTAAGTAACAAAGAAGCCAATTTAAAACACACAATGTCAATCAAGAAACAACTATACTTCTTTAATTCCTGATTCAATCTTTATGCCTCTCTAGTTGACTACCTTCCTTCTCTTGACAGCCAAAGTCTCAAAGGTATCTGTCCTATTTCTCTACATACCTGTCACTGTTTAACCCATTTCAACATAGCTTCCAGCCGTACCACTTAAGGAATATCAAACATTTAAAGAAAAAATTAATATCAGTTCTACACAAACGTCTCTAAAAAATAGAAGAGAAGGGAACATGTACCAACTTGTTCTGAGGCCATCAAAACCAGACTAAAATAGTAGAAGAATAAATAATAAATCAATATCCTTCATGAATGGAGACATAAAAATCCTTTTAAGAGATTAGCAAACTGAATTCCACAATATATAGAAAGGTTAATCAATCGCTAAGAAATGGGGTTTATCTAAGAATTGTAAGTCAAGGTTTAACATTGGAAAAATCAATCAATTATAATTTACCACAGTGACAAAATAAAGTAGAAAAATTATATGATTACCTCATTAGATGCAAAAAAAAAGCACTTGCTAAAATTCAAAAGCTATTTCATAATAAAAACTCTCAGCAAACCAGGAATTAAGAACATCTATGAAAACACTATAACTAACATCACACTTTATGGTACAAGACTGAATGCTCTCCTCCAACAGGTGAGAAGAAGGCAAAGATGTCCAAACTTAAAACTTATATTCAGCATTGTACTAGAGGTCCTATATAGTGCAATTAGGAAAGAAAAATAAATAGAAGAACAAAGGTTGGAAAGGGAGAAGTATAGCTAATCCCTGAACAATGCAGGGATTAGAAGCACCGACCCCTGTGCAGTTGAAAATCCATACATTACTTTTGACTCCTGCAAAAACTTAACTGCCAATAGCCCACTGTTGACATAAACAGTCAATTAACACATATTTTGTTTATGTATTACATACTGCATTCTTATAATAAAGTAGGCTAGAGAAAAGAAAATATTAAGAAAATCATAAGGGAGAGAAGATATATTTACTATTTATTAAATGGAAGTGGATCATCATAAAGGTCTTCATTCTTAGCATCTTCACATTGAGTAAGCTAAGGGGGAGGAAGTGGAGGGGTTATTCTTGCTATCACAGGGGTGGCAGAGGCAGAAGAGATAGAGGTAGAAGGAGAGGCTGGACAGGCAGGAACATTTGGTGTAACTTTAACAAAATACATTGTAATTTCTGTCTGACTTTTTGGCTTTTTCATTTCTCTAAAAATGTTTCTATATGGTACCAATCCTTCCACTATTTGCTTTAGTTTCAGTGCCCATATCATAGGAAAAATCCATGTTGTAAAAGAAGTCAAAAGCAGTCCTGAATAATCAGAACCCACCTGCTAGACTGATTAATGTCAATTTGCTTTCTGGCACTTCTACATCTTCTTCCTCATCATTTGGCATTAGTTCATAAGCACTGATCTCCATCAGGCTGTATTCTGTTAATTTCTGTCGTATGGTATTTATTAGCTCCTCAATTTCTCCAAGATCCCTATCTTAAAACCCCTCACCTCGCCTTTTTTTTTTTTTTTTTTTTTTTT